ATAAAAACCCCATGGTGTTCCTATGCTGATCATAAAAGCCTCATGGTGTTGCTATGGTATCCACAAAATGTCCCATGGTGATCACTTCAACCAACATTATTTTTTGCCAGTCCCATGGCGTACACATGGGGTCCCATGGGCAGCCCGTGGGATGCCCATAGGATCTGCAAGGGACATTTTTGTGAGGGAATCCATGCGGATTACCCAATCTCCAAATCAACCCGAATTAACTAAGCACATGTCCAGAATTAATACCAATTGCTTCGGTTCGAGCGCCGAGTTGGTAGGTGCCGAGTTGGCACCGGACAGGGGTCCGGACAATTGGACCGCTTGCCAACTCGACTTCGGACAACTCGACCGTTGAGACAAGTCATTCATCCGTTGAGACAAGTTGTCCGTTGGGACACTGATCCCCTCAGCCCAGTCGTCTACTGAGGCCACAGTGTAAATGAGAAACATGTATGCCTTAATGATGGGATGGAATTTCACGTAGTAGATATAGACAAGCCTAATTTCTGAGGTATTTATAAAAATGGTGGCTGTAGTAAGTCAATCTTTGTGCAATCAACGATCTTGCACCCGCGCAGCATGTGTATGACCCGTAAACATTACAATCGTTTCCCTAGTTCCAGATAGCTTGGAATAAAATCCTACCTTCTTGGTGTTTGTCTTTCAGTTCTACATTCTCAGACAGGGTTTGGTTTAAAGTGAAATGTAAACTTTGTGTTGAACAAAACTCTGGGAAAATTCCTAGTACAAAACAAATTATGGCCAGAATTCTGATTTGCACTTTGACATTTTGGCTGGTAGCGGGAAAAACTTGCGCATAGTTATAAGGCGATATGTCACTCACTACGAGTGATTCCAAATACTTTTTTCATACTCAACAGTCATATAAACTTTTGCATCTAATATTTGTTTAATCAAAAGGACTTTCAAAGTTCCGTTTTATTAAAACTGGCCGAAAACTAACGCATATTGTTCCTAGTTGTGGATCACGCATAAAGTGCATGCACCCAATATACTGTGGCGGGACAACTGACACCTTTTTGTGGCGGACCAGCAGACTGGCCGGATTGGAGATAGAATTGACCTGGCCTACCCCACAAATATATTTATCAACCTTACGCAAGATTGAGCGGTTATCCTGACGCAAGGGGGAATATCAGTTAACGAACGGTGGACTATGCCTTAGGGACTGTTCGTTTGGTGGAAGTTTACCACCGCTCTGTGATTAGGTAATTGATCCCAATGTCAATAAAGATTACAGTGTGGTTTGGCAAAGATGCCCCTCACGTCTGCCTCAGGAACTGCTAAGTCAGAGTCAACCTCACGGCGACTCTCCTTCTCAGACACAACCGTTGGATTTCCGACAACTTCCGTTGCCCTTTCATATCAGACCGACCACACTGTTTACAGACCTTCCTAGACAACCCGTCAGCATTTCCATGCTTACGTCCAGGTCTGTGCTGAATGGACACG